GACTCCTCTTTTCATTTACCCCAACCCCCTTCCCCCAAAACCAAAGTTTTACCAACCCCAATATCTTTGAGGTTTCAACCACGTATTAGAGCTCACTAATTATATGTAACTTTTACGGGCCAATTCCAATTCCAATTCCAATTAGGTAAAAAGCTCGCACAAAGGAGATCCAGTTTTCTAAAAGAAAAAGAATTCAGTCAGCCCACTTATGAGTAAATGAGTATGGAGTCATGAAGTGTCATCGATATAGCATAAGGAACATTTAATCTAATATTTTTTCGTGAAAATCATTCAAAAATTGCTTTACCCGAACTCAAAAATTGGAAATGGTTGAAAATGGGTCGAAATCCCATTTCCAGAACTTAAATTCTGTTTTTTAGATTTTTATTCATCGCGATCGTGAAAATTCGTTCGCGATCGCATAGAACACTTTTGCCCAGGTTCATTTTACTCTTCGCGATCGCGGAAATGGCTTCACGATCGCAAAGCACAATTTGCACAGGCTGCCCATTTGCACTATGCGAACGCGACATGCCATACGCGAACGCGAAGCATAACCTTGTAGACCTACGCGATCGCGGACCGTTTCATGCGAACGCGAAGAACAAATTTGAGTACCCCAGCTTCTGCCTCATTTCCTCTTCGCGAACGCGTGGGTTAGATCGCGAACGCGAAGCTTTGCACTTCGACCCTTCGCGAACGCGTGCCCTCGGTCGCGAACGCAAATCACAATTGTGCCAGTCCAACTTTCCTCTTCGCGATCGCAGGAATGGCTTCGCGATCGCAAAGCACAAAACACCAGATGACAACAGAAGTTAAAAACCAAATTTTTCTCAAAGTACAAATGGTCTGTAGGTTATCCTTAACTCACCCGAGCCTTCGGGGCTCCAAACCAAACATGCACACAAGTCCTAAAACATCATACGAACTTACTCGCGCGATCAAATCGCCAAAATAATACCTAGAACTACAAACTGAACTACAAATCGAATGAAATTTTCAAGAAAACTTTAAAACTTATATTTTCACAACCGGACGTCCGAATCACGTCAAATCAACTCCATTTCTCACCAAATTCGGAAGACAGGTCATAAATATTATAGTGGACCTATACCAGAATCCGAAACCAAAATACGGACCCGATGTCAATAAATCCAACATCAGTAAATTCTTAAAAATCATTAAGCTTTCAAACTTTTTAATTTTCATCAAAATTCCATATCTCGGGCTAGGACCTCAGAATTTGATTCCGGGCATACGTCCAAGTCCCAAATTACTATATGGACCTAGTGGAATTGTCAAAATACTGATCCGAGTCTGTTTGCTCCAACGTTGACCAAAGTCAACTCAGTTGAGTTTTAAAGCTCTATTTCACATTTTAATCCATTTTTCACATAAAAACTTTCTGAAAATTTTTTACGGACTGTGCACGCAAGTCGAGGAGTGATAAATAGTAGTTTTTGAGGTCTTAGAATATAAAATTAATTATTAAATTTAAAGATGACACTTTGGGTCATCACACAAACGTTGTTCAGAGTCACCACCTTGCTAGAGGTCATCTTCAGGAATATCTTTCCATAACCTTCAATTTTGGTCGTTGAAGAATTTTTCATAAAATTGGTCTCGTCGGGTCCAGTGGAAGCATATGAAGCAAATGCTTCTCTAACAGCACAAACATGGCGGGTGACACCAGAATCAATCCACCACTCCTTAGGATTTTTCACTAAGTTGTATTCAGACAACATAGCGCACAAGTCATCAATATCATCATTTGGTTCAACCATATTTTCTTGTCCCTTTTTCTTCTCTTTCTTTGGAGCACGACATTCTGTAGCTTTGTGTCCACCTTTTCTACGGTTGCAGGAATTTCCCTTGAATTTCTTCTTGTTGGGATAGTTGTTTGGTCCAAAAGGCTTCTTTCGCTTCTTCGAATTAGTTGGAGCAGTTTCAATGATATTTTCTCCCAAAATTGTTGAGTTCCCACGTGTCTTATTTTTTGTAGCTTTATTGTCCTCTTCGATCCTCAATCGAACGATGAGATCTTCGAGTTTCATCTCCCTGCACTTGTTTTTCAAGTAGTTTTGAAAGTCCCTCCATAAACGAGGCAACTTCTCAATCATTGTTGCAACTTGAAATGCCTCATTGATGACCAAACCTTTAGGAAAGAGATCGTGAATTATAACTTGCAGCTCTTGAACTTAGGTAATGACATGCTTGATGTCTACCATCTTATAGTCTAAAAACTTTGCTACAACAAAATTCTTTTAACCGGCATCCTCGATTTTATACTTTTTATCCAATGCATCCCATAGTACTTTAGAAGTTTCTGCATTACTATAGACGTTGTAAAGATCATCCTCCAGTCCGCTAAGAATGTAATTCTTGCACAAGAAATCTGAGTGCTTCCATGCCTTAGTCACTATGAAACGTTCATTGTCAAGAGTTGTTTCCTGCAGAACCAAAACGTCCTCCGTGATGAACTTCTGTAGACTCAAAATAGTCAAATAGAAGAACATCTTCTGTTGCAAACTTTGAAATCATTCACGGAAAATTTCTCTGGCTTTTCCGCCGGAGCCGGTGGTGGCACAGAACGGCTGGAAGTAGCAACATTGCTCGTAGAGCCAACCACGGTGAAGATTTTATTTCTTCAAACTGAATACAAAACGAGTAGAAAATCACAGAGATTTTAATCTCGTAATGTAAACCAAGGAGTAGAAAATTCGAAGATTTTAGTCTCCAAATTGAGAGTAGTTAGTCTCCCACAATCAGAATATAAGATGAATAAAGAAAAATAAATTAAGTTACTTAAGCTTGTTGGTATACTGTATTCGAAGGAAAATTGAATTATCGTTTTATGAACAGTCTAATTTGGAGCAATTAATATTGCGTTAATATTAACAAATAAATTTGGTCCAAAAAATCAATCAATCCGAAGCCGAAGTCGAATCCGAGCGACGACGACGTCGCGAGGTTTGCCTTCTTTTTCACTCTTTAAGAGCTAGAAGAAGAACAATTATATATATATATATATATA